CTGTATATTCAAATGAATGTTGATATTGTGATTAGAAATCAATAGTTACAAAGTAAAACAGACAATAAAGCCATTGAACTCAGTTTGTTTTGATTATTGAATGTAATGTAAATCAATTTATTGTTCACAGCACAGCACACGGTGAAGTTTAGTCTACTTTTAACTCAGCTAACTCACTAATGTAGGAGCAGTGGGCAGCGTCTATACAGTGTAGGTATAAGGGTCCACTGCCTTGCTCAACTAGCTCTTCTCCAGTTAACAGCCAACCAGTAAACCACAGTTCCTCCATATTCGAGAACAGACGGACACTGACAACCCAGCTGAGGTGGTACTGAGAGATGGGATGACTGGTGTCATTTTCTAAAGGTAAACTATAGCTAGGCTGCTTTAGAGTTACCGATGGAGCTTTTGTCTGGATAGAAAGAAACCTAAAACATTTCAGAATTAACAGTACTCGTACTAAGCCATGAACAATGGATAACAAATTAAATGAGTAAAAAATACAATTCTATTGTTTTTTAAATACACATCAGAAGAAAACTATTAAAACTATTAGCGTTGTAATCGAGAAAGACTCTGTACTGGGTGTATAATTCCCTATAATTTTCAATACCTTCGACTGAGACATTAATCTTACAAAAGTAATGAAAAGCCCATAAACGTGAGGAAAAAATCCTCCTGCTATTCACAAGCACATCAAAGTCAAAGACTTATTTTCGCACGATAGATTTACATTTGGTTCCTGGTGCATGATGATCATATTACAAATGTAAATGACGATGGCGGGCAGGTTCATCTTTCGTGACAGTTGTACTCATACAGGTGTGCAGGCATTAACAAAAAACATTTACATACTGTTCTGAAGATGTCACAAGTGATTTTTAAAGAGTATTTAACAAAAATAGATTTATCTCTATCAATGACAGAATTTTGCCTCATTGTTTTAATATTTTAATCTCACCTGTGAAATGAATTCAATTTATTGTGATTTTATCTCACAAGTCCCATTCTGTTACTTTACATGTGTTTTATCATGATGCAAGCAAGATCAGTTTAAACCTGAGGCTCCCTTGATTGATGACTGGAAACAGATTGTTCCTTCTAAACTGTTACACCAAACAGCAGGGGCCCTTCAAATTCCCCAGATTCCTCAAATAGAGCAGAGGCATGATCACACTCCCTGCAGTCGGGAGTATCAGGATAGGTATTGCTAAAAAGCATTCATACACTTGGTCATCACTGATAATCAGATCCCCCAGGATGTACGCCAGCACCGGAGGGACGTACGAGGTGACGGTCATGACAATGCTGTTGGTGATGATCTGGAGAGCCTTCTTCTTCATGGGGTGGAGGTCTCCCCCAGCACGGAGGGACTTCTTCAGATTCCTGAGGATGAAGACATCACATGTGATAATGATGGGCAGCGCTATGACGTACACAAACATGGCCCAGGCGCTGTGGTTCAGCTCCTCCACGGCCGTGGAGGTGATTCCTTGAGCCGCTGTGATGGTCCACGCGACAGCAGCCATGAGGAACCGGGGAGTCAGACTCTTCCTTGAGTGGTAGGTGACAGGGTAGACCACAGCCAGGAGGCAGTCCAGACAGATACACGCCGTTAAAAGAGGTCGTCCAGCCAGGTTCAAGGCATACAAAAAATTGCTCAACAATTGAATGGTCCTCATGTGCCACAGGAGGAAGTTACACAGCCCGAACGGGACAAAAAGCAAGAAGACCAAGTCCATGATGGTGAGGTTGAGCATGAAGACGTCGTTGGGGGAGACGGGGGAGACTGCTTTGTGTCTTCGGTACAGTTCCCAGAGAACAGCGACACACGCAGGACATCCCACCAGAGAGAAGAGAGCGCTGAGAGCAGCCCAGGCCATAATGCCTGCCATCATGTCTCCACAGTGTCCCAACATTTCCCCCGAAGGCTCGCTGAAGTTGAAGGTTAGATTCTGAGAGCGAGGATGCACATGGAGAAACATTTTTCTTACCGGCAGTGACACCTTGATCAGTGATTGCCTTTACCTGAAATAAAACAGGAACACACGAGACACTGAGGCAAATAAAAATCCAAACTAATTTCCAGTTTTTTCCCTTGACGTAAACGTCACAATCTGTTTATTTGCCCTTTTACTTTGAGGATCTGACCTTATTTTTGGACAAGACTTTGTAATGAAGCAGTCAATTTGTGTATCATTATGTAAATTGTGTTTTGAATATGCAAACATTGAGGATCATTTTTCAATCATGGTCAGTACTAATAAACAAAAAAACCAGCTGACTCCAGGTTTTGCAGATTCTATCAGTTAATGTGCTCTTTGAAGTACATGGTTTATGAGTTATTGTGATGTGATCTGTTAAAATTCAGTTTTCTCTGCCCATGGTATAGTTAGAGGTTAAAGGTCAAATGTCTCTTAAACCGCCAGAACAACACATAAAAAAATGCTCAACATAATTAAAAAACACAAGACAGCAAGTATATTTGATTAAATGGTGCTGCCATTGAACGGGCTTAGGTTTGAAGATTTTAGAGTGTAAACATCATGCAGCTTCAATGAAGAGCTTGAAGAAGCTGATCGTACTGTCAGTGAGAAAATAATCTATACAACTTTAAAGCCACTCAAAGGAGAAATTAAAGGGAAAGACTGGAGGTTTAAGTTGTTACAAATAAAGATTGCGCAACTCTAGTTGCAGAGTAGGCTTACTCTGTATTCTTAAAGATTATATATTATATTAAAGAATACTGAGTACCCATAAATACACTGTTTGTACTGAATCAGTTGAAAGCAAAAGGAAGAGGTGGCTAAATATGTTCCCTTATGAGGGTAAAAAAACAGCAAAAACCAAGTGATCTGTTAAACATGAGTGAAAGTATCCAAACTAATACAATTGGCTCTCTCGTCCTCTTTCTTTACATAAAGGTTGTTGTAGTTCCAGTTACCGTCACTGGGTGGCAGTAACCTGCAGTGCATTATGTCTGAGTTTTCAAGTCTCCTTATGTGTGGAACACTAATTTGCATTTTAGACAAACAAAACTTAATTAATTAATTAAATCAGTATCTGCCTGTGCAGGTAATAACAGGGTTATTGACACTTAACGACAACGACAATAAAATCGGAGAGGATTATTTTTGTCAAGGAATCTTCACTATATAATGGGCCTATTTCCCATCAGTGCCGAGGTCAGAATTTAATCCAGTTCACTGAGTTAGAAAATGAGAGGAAAGAAAACCAAATACAGAAACATCTAATTGTTCACTCACTGTAAAGATTTAGACAACATTGGGAGTTTAAAGTGTTTTATATGCTTTTAATGACACACACACATCTGCAAACAATTCCATATAAAATGACCATTTCTTCATAAAATATTTTCTTTTGGATTTACTCCCACCTCCCAAAAGAGCAACTTGTCACAATGTGTTCAATCAAACTAGCTACCATAGTGATTGTTTTTATTTATATATACTACACATTTACATTGTGGGACTTACTGAACAAATAAGAAAAAATGCATTTAAAAAAAAAAAAAAAAAACTCCCAATAAAATGGTTATTATTCATGTCCTGTCACAATCACACAAACTGTGAAAGGTAAACAAATATTCACATGGAAAGTAAAAAAGATACATTTTCTTCAAAACGTGAATCACAGATACTTAATTTTAGAAAACCTTCAGCACACTCTGGTTAGTTAAACCAGGCTTATTCCTGGAGGAACACACGCAGAGTTTCTTGCGTCGGTCTCATTTGAGACTTTTTTAAACACTTTTCATTCAGCTTACGCTTCTGCTCAATCTCATAATTTAAATAGGGACAAACAACAATTTACTTTAGCGACATTTAGTTGATTTTAATCAGAAAGCTGATCCCGCTTCATTATTTTGACAAGAACAATTCAACAGGGAGAATGGCAGGAAGATTTCAGGTGTTACTGTAAACCAACAACCAGAGCCAATCCTCAGGCTCTGTGCAGCTTTAATACACAATAGTTTTATGCCAAAACAAACTCGAGAAACGACACACATGGCTTTTAAGGAGGACAGCAGGCAGATCAGCCCCTCATCCGTGAGAGTCCCGGGTCATGTGTCGCACACGTGCAACATCGAAAATGAACAATTTATACAAAACAACACTACAGTGTAAACACCAGCACATTATTTGTGATTGTATAGAAGGTTTCATAACATCCAGGAAATATCACATTCTTAAGGAGGCGGGAACACATGTGAGCTGTGCTTTAACATTGTTACGATCCTGTAATAACCTGCATCTCCAGTAGCGGTGATGAGTGGAGGTACTCAATGTTTTGTTTTAGAATCCCCAAATGACTTAAAAACCCTACGGTTGATGTTCTTAAAACGCAACTCCTGAAAGTAAAACTTCAATGTAAGAGTTACAAGCCTCTGTGTCTTGAGAAAATGCAAAAAATACATTTGAGTTTTATTCATCTTTTCCTTACAGTATGTGGAGATATGAGGCGTTCACCTGACAGCAACGACACATGTGAAGGCTTTCATTCCAAAAAACGATGCTGTATATTCATTATATATGGAAACAAAACAACAGTTATGTGAATCTTATCACTCGATAATAATTCCATTCTAAACAATGTTAGTTTATGATAGTTGAGGGTGTTAAAATAAGAACATATAATGATTTCATAACATGTTATTTTTATGTAATTGTTACACAAAATCAGGTTGAACTTTTAGAGATCCTTTTTCTGGAACAAAACTCTTCAAAACCCGTATGAGAACATCAAGATAAAAGACTTTCTGAGTAAAACTGGTGTGTTGATGGAGAGTCGTTTCAGGATTTTGAGCTCCAAACACTGAACCACATTCTCCAAACTCTGTAGTTCTCTCTTTTCAAAAGCTGAGACAACATCAAGTCGTTGGGACACGAGTTGGGGCGAGAGCCGTCTTTCCTACGTGGACATGAGGGTCGGACAATGGCTCCATTGACTTAGTTCTGACCTCCCCCTGCCCCAACACCAGTTAACATGAAGAGAAAAAAAACGCCGTTGATTATTAACTGGGATGCCAGTGTTTCTCGCGGAGTGGAATTTGAGCCATGCATTGATTATCCAAACCGATGTTTTTCGCCTCCTCGGTTTCACATTCGGCTCTGGATGGCGAGTGTGTTGCTCACGAACAGCAGAACTGCCGTTTGTTCTATAAAAAGGGAGGCGAACACGTACAGATACATGCAAATTCTTCACTTCTTGTGGAATATACTCACCAATAGCTTGTAATGCTTTCTTGCACAGTGAAAGGCCAACAAAATCAAAAAGCTCATTGTGATAACACAAGCCTGGGGGACATATGCAGTGTGTACTATGGAGTGCATTGTGCGTAGCTCCAAATGCACACGATCTTCACAAACTTTAAATCCCTCAACAGTTAGCTCTAACGTACCGACACATACGCTTTGTCATTAAAACAAAAAATATACATTTTGGGGATTTTTGCAGCTTAGATGCTCAGTCTGCAAGCACCTCTTATCTCATCCGTTGTACCACAAAGTAGCTGCAGCCAAGACACCAACCAGCACATACATCAGTGTGGCACAATGCCTCTGTCTTCTCCATACAGGATGCCTTTCTCTCAGGGTGCATGTTTACTGGCCAGATGGGCTGAGGGCCATTCTCTGGCCAAAACAAAATGGCTTTGAGTGTGTTGAAGACCCCCATCAGGTCAGAGACAAAGTGACCAGAATACTAAACACCACCTTCAATACATATCACGGCTGACTTTGTCAAAGCGCTCTCTACGTTTTCTGCTCCGTTTAGCTGGGCTGAGTAGCATACGGAACAACATATAGCACGAGGGGACCGAAGGACGTACGAAAATGCTTCATGTGTGGTACAAACATCCACTAAACAAGTTAAATCGACATTTAAAAAAAAAATGAAAATCTGCATTCGTTAATCCAGTCAGCGGTTTGATTCTGTGATAATCAGACCCTTCTCGTACCTCGTTGGTTTGGACTAGTGTAAACTCCTTTGCTCATCCAGTACTGAGATATATACACAGAGGCTGAGTGAACTTCTTTTTTTGGCACTTAATAGTCACACTGAGAGCAAAGATTGCTGAGAGAAAGACAGGAATACAAACGATGCCACAGACACCAGATTAATGCTACTCGGTGTCATGGAGTGTCACAACCTCTACCGGTTTGGATTCGGGTGTACTATTCCCAATATCAATCTTCCCGTTCTCTCACACCTCGTTTTTCCTCAGTAGAACACAAGCTGTGACTCCTCTTGAGTTCATCACTTCACTCCCAGTCCCCCTCCTCAAGTATGTCCGCTCCAGGTGTCCGCTAGTCCCAGATACTCTGGATTCTCTGCCGTGGGGGTCACAAACCCGTTCATGTGCCTGGGCACTCGTCCGTCTCTCTGCAGTGCCTCAGGACCGTCCGCTGCTGCCGCCCCGGCTACAGCGTTGGCTTTGGCCCCGAGGTCCATGTAGTACTGGTTGTCGAAGGCTGGAGAGGTGGCGGCCCCGGCACTCGCAGGGACCAAGTATCTTGTGTTTTCCACGCTGTGACCGGAGCACAGGCCGTTAGGGAGGCGTCGGTCTGCTTTGGAGACTTTACGGGGCAGCGTGCTGGGCCGCTCGGGAATCCCCGGCCTGAGATCCTGAACCTCCTGGTTGACGTACTCTAAACAGATGGAGGGAGAAAGAAAAGTCAGAACAAAACAAGACACCATTGAATTATCAAACGCTTCATTTTTCTCTTGGCTCACCTGGCAAGGCATGAATATGATTCCGTCTGGGCAATGAGTGATGAAGGTGATGAGGAGGATGAAAGCCATTTGGCCCGTCTATCTCCAGGTCACCCTGGCTCCCGTTGGAGTAGGTGGGGTCTTTGCAGTAGCGTCCGGGGCTGGCCGGGAGCAGCGAGGGGTCATCTGGAGGGTCGTCCAGGAAGACCGAGTCAGATTGGCCCCCGGCCGACGGGCTGCGAGCCAGAGATGGGTACTGAGGAATCCATATGCCGTTGGAGGTGCTGGCTCCTGAGGGTAAGGTAGGGTACTGGCTGCGGCCAATGGTGCTCAGGGAGGAGTACATGCTCCGAGGGCCGCCGGTGACAGAGGGCTCAACGTCTAAACCCTGATCTCTGCTCTGCTGGACAGACGGGAGAAATGAATGAGAAATAGACAAGAAGGTGAATTCAGCCACTCAAAGGCTCCCAGGCGGCTGTGTGAAGGAAGAGGAAGGTGAGGGTTGAATACTGGACACTGACCCTGTATGACTGGTGTCTGGACGGCCCGTTGGCTTGAACCCCGTCTACCTGGGTCCTGGAGAAGTGGTTTGGCTGAGGCACCAGATACTCCTCGGCATCCAGCAGTTCCCTCATGTTGTTCCCTTCCTCCTCCAGAAGCATCCGGAAAAACTGGCTGTCCACTGGGATGGACATGCTCATCTGCTCGTCGTTCTGCGAGAGAAAGAACAACAAGTTTAAATAAAACACGTTTTATTTATCCCCATGGACATAGAACATCTACGCTTTAGACAACTAACATGCTACTAAATGACATGACCATTACGTGATCATGCACTGCGAGCACAGTCACAAAAAGTAAAACATCTGCAACATGAAACACATGTTCACATACCTGAATGACTACATAGCGAGGGGGATCTTTGGCCATATCACTAAATTCGCTCACAAGATCTTTGAACCGCGGTCTGCTGTCCGGGTCGATCATCCAACCTGCCGTCCAAACATAGAAATCAGATGTCAATCAATCATCTTAATATATCAACTCTGTTAGGGACATGTCATAATGACAAATAATCATGTACAGTTCCCCTATGAATGATACTGTTGATTTACTGAATACGATTAAACCTTGAGACACAAACAAACTACTAACATTTGACCATGATCATGTAGACATCGATGGTGCAGATGAGGGGCTGGGGGAGCCGTTCTCCTCCCTCTAAGACCTCGGGGATTTCTCTTGCTGGGATCATGTCGTAGGGTTTAGCCCCAAACGTCATCAGCTCCCAGACCGTCACACCTGGGAATGAAATGTCCGATTACATTAAATAAAATATCTAGCCAAATGAAAATTACATCACTTATTATGAGCACATGGAAAGTTGTCTGGCATGAGACTAAGCTATATTTAAAATCTGTGTGTCATAAATTAAAGCTAAACACCAATTTAAGCAAACATTTATCATGATTTAACACTTTCCTAAAACCTTACTTGCTAAAAAAGGAAAAGTATGCCCATTATGCCTGTAATGCAATGAGCTGAGTGATACTGACCGTAGCTCCAGACGTCACTCTGATGAGTGAACCTCCTGTGCAGAATAGACTCCAGAGCCATCCATTTAATCGGAACCTTGAAACAGAGAGCAGCAGTTCAAATCTGTAAACCACTGTGAACGTCCCCAGTGCAGACGCTCCTACAGCCACAGACATCTTACCTTCCCTCCATCAGCGTGATACTCAGTCTCGTCGATATCGAGCAGACGGGCCAGACCGAAGTCGGTGATCTTTACGTGGTTTGGGTTCTTGACCAGAACATTGCGGGCGGCTAAATCCCTGTGGACCAGCCGGACATCCTCCAGATAACTCATCCCCTACAAACCAACACACACACACACACACACACACACACACACACACACACACACACAGATCCATCACCCACAAACCCATGTGTCCACAAATACACAAGCTGATACCACAAAAATTTGAAAGGAAACATAAGACGAGATATCAACAGCGACATTCAGAATAAAGACGTTTACGTCTACTATTACAAGCAGTAGATCAAGTATGTGCACCTAAATCAGATGCAGAGCACAAAGATGATGACTCGTTTAAATACCTTGGCGATCTGGACACACCAGTTGAGGAGGAACCGGGAGCCGATGCGGTCCTTGTTCTCCCTGACGTAGTCGAGGAGGCAGCCGTACGGCATCAGCTGAGTGACCAGCTGCACCGTGGAGGTCAGACAAATCCCCAGCAGACGGCACACATAGGGGCTGGCCACTCCCGCCATCACATAGGCCTCCTGTGGGAAGACAGAGGAAAGATGCTAATGGGGTTGAGAACTGTATTCATGTAACTGTGTCTAATTGGCTTTCACTCACATCGAGGATCTCTTTATTGGCCTTTGGCGAGGTGTTCTCTCGTAACACCTTGATGGCCACTGGTATTTTCACATTTTCCCCATCAGGAGCCCACACTCCCTGAAACAAAACAATGGAAAACACTCAAAAACTCACCAAAAGATGGAGAGCTAAATATAAAAGGTACTTTTAAAGAACTGGACCACATACCTTGTAAACAGTACCGAAGGCCCCTGCACCCAGCACCCTGAGTTTTTTCAACTCAGTCTCCTTCAGGATGCGCATCTGAGCCTGATTGGGTGACGCACCGCTGGGTGTTAGAGGCTCCACAAGCTGTAAGCATGGAGGAAGCAGATGGCAGATTCCTTCATGACAAACTACAACACCCAAGGGGAACCTAAGGACTACATGTTGCCCTACACACAACGGGCGTCTCTGTTTACAACTTATGCGATGGTGCTCGGTGCCCACCTCATGTTCTTGCAGGATCCTCCTCATCGTCTCCTTCCTCCTGAGCTTCTTCTGTCTCCTCAGATAGAAGACCAGTAGAGCGAGCAGGATGAAGAAGAGCACCACTCCACCCACTGCAGCCGCGATGGTTGTACCCGGTCTAAACAGAGAAAAACAGTTCAACTAATCCTCAAAAGAAGCCCTGAGAAAATCCACCACCACCACCACCACCACCATCATCATTCAAGTATCTGAAACAGTTGAGACCGCTCACCCTGTCCTGGTGTCAACGGGGCAGCCTCTGTCATCCATCACAGTGCAGCTGAAACACACAAGCGCCGGGTGTGAAATCATTCTCACTGTGTGAGCAGTCCGTGCCTGTGTTTGTGATGCGTGTCCACTTACGACAGCGTGCAGTTGGTGTTGCAGGACAGACAGTGTCCTGTGGCGTTGCTGTACTTCCACACGGTTTGCTGATCCTCCTTCACACCGCTGGGACAATGATCCACACAAAACTCACCGTCCTGGAATTTACGACACTCTGAACAATGTTCTGCACGCTGAAGACACACAGAGAGAAGTATTTAAGTGCATTTATAAACAGCACACAACGGTTTGCACACTTACACACAGGTATAATGGTGGGAATTTATTTAGAATATTTACTTAAGGGGGCAACTAATGATTATTTTCAACTATCTTTTTTTCTTCTTCTTCTTCTGGCAATGATTGAACACATTTGGCGGCGTGAGCATCTTACCGGGCCATGACAGGAAGCAGAGCCATTGAGAGGTCGACACTCTGCGTGACAGGCAACACACACAGATCCGTCTGTGTATTCACGGATAGACCTGCAACACAAGCACAGCGGGGATTCAACATAACGTCCCACAACACAGTCTGGCATTTGTTGGATGCTTCTATCTCAAGCGTCATAAGGACAAACATTTTTAGAAAGGGGGCCCCCGCTGCAAATAACAGTGTTAGCCTCACCAGATGACCTGCTGCTAAGGGTAACTTGTTCTCACAAAGGGCTGGACAACAATGTTTATTATTGTTTAACAACTATGATTGATCGTATTATGACCATATTAAGACATTCTTATGTCAAACAAATCTTTTGACATTTTGGAAAATACACTTATTTGCTCTCTCGTTGAGAGTTAGATGAAATATCGATACCAGTCTCTCATCAGTGCAGTAAATATGAAGCTACAGCTAGCATTAGCTTAGAAATAGTCAGGCAGAACCCTCCGATAGAACCCAAAGTCATTTTACGCTTTGTGTTTTATACGTATTAAACAAACGTGTCAGTTGGTGAGATTTCGAGGTGCTTATAGCAGGATTGTGTTATCTTTGGACAGTCAAGCTAGCTGTTTCCCACTGTTTCCAGTCTTTATGCTAAGCTATGCTAACTGGCTGCTGTTTATAGCTTACTATTTAACATACAGGCATGAGAGTGGTGTTAATCTTCTCATCTTACTATCAGCAAGAAAGTGAAAAAACATATTTTAGTATTTCAACAGTCGCCGATCCGATCTGAACCGTGAGTTTGATGATCTGTTGCACCTCTATTAGTTACTCTTCAAAGAAAGTTATCACATGCATTAACTTTGTCATTGACCTAGAGTTGCTTAAGGGCGCAATTTAAGTTAAAAGCTTTCCGATTGATTTATTGTGACTCCTTTGACATTTGTGACATCAAATTAACCCCTAAATCCACCTGTTCACATTTTTACTTTAGGCCAATACATGATTAGTTTGGGGATTATGATACACAGTGTACTGTATTATATGGAACATTATCACTTGGCTTTGCTATTGATTTAGTGCAGCCACACCCACACAAACAGAAACATTCATACCCCTGATTGATGTCACACTGCTCCACGCACTCAGTGCCGCGTTGGAAAGCCTTGCAGGACGCACACTGGCTGGGCCCCGGCCCCCAGCAGCCCCCCTCGCACAGCAGGTGACAAACACGCCCCTCTTCCTCTGAAAACAGATGCAGAGAAAACAGATGCACACTGTACTTTCTACTGGACTCTCCTGCTCACTATCACTGTAAAAAGTTTCAATGAGGAAAATCACAGAGAAACCCTCAAGGAGTACTCTGCAGACAAGTGCCAACGTTTTCATCAATTGCAAATGTACCAAGCAACAACAGCCATGCATGTTGATTCAAATGCAATTCAGAAAAATGTATTTTCTGCAGTTGGATTTCTGTGGGTCAATAAATGGAATTGACACTAGTATCAGGCCGAGATATGTAACTTGGATAAAGTGACAAGTGGCTGATCAAAGTGTAACCCACAGTATCTTTAATGGACCTTGGCATCGCATTAGTGCGTTCACCCACCACAGAGTTGGGTGTCCTGGTTCTGGCTGATGATGCGTTGAGGTCCCTGGCTGGGGTGGAGCAGACTGTCCCAGGGCAGTGAATTGGTGTAGCACAGCTGGGAATTGTTGTGTAGCAGGACCAAACCTCCGCTGACGCTGCGTAGTGAACGCAACCCAAGAGACCGGATGTGTAGATTCTGGATGGCCATCGAAAACACACCCCTGACCAGAAAGAGAGGTTGTGAGTGACCAGAAATAAACGGCAGGAGTCAATTTTCTAAAGTCTGTCCATTAATAATGATATCTTTTTTTTAAATAAAATACACTCACTAACAATGCTGTATCCCAATATTATTTGATACATTTTAATACTGTGAAGAGATCAAACCAAACCAGCCTCGACCGATCTAAGAATGTTTATCTTTTGTTTTCAAATTTGGTTAAAAATTGTGGGGGAATCCCAAGTCATACATACAAGATCCGACTCTGTATCATGGAGAGGTTCAACAACAAGTAGTACAACTGTAATCTATACTATATCTATTCACGAGCAAGTGTGAAAATAGGTTTTAAAGTGTAATCTCAGCTGAGGAAATATGAAAGAAAAACAGCGACACTATAATTACGATAAAGAAACAAGACTGTTCTTTTAATTAAAATGAATTACCCAAAACAACGGCCCATCATGTCAAATCTTGTTGTCAGACAAGCAGATCTCACATTTGTCACTTTGACCAAGCTTGAGCGTGCTACACTAGATAGTCTGCCATAGACTGTTATCCTGGTTGGAGTATGCTGCAAGTTGGAGGTTGGTTGTGCTGGCTAATAATTAGCCTTTATAACCCTGAAAGTGAACAAACTGCCTCAACTGAACCGAAAACACAAACGTGAAAAAGAGAAACAATCAAAGCACAAACAAAGACCCTATGTGGGTGGACGGACATCAGGAAAGTGGCATGTGGTGAGACGCACCACACAGAAAGAAACAGATGCTCTACATTGATTTGAATGAATATCTTAGTTTTATTATTATAATTCTTTGCATTTTTTTCCTCAGTGGGAAAGCTTTCCAAGGTGTGAACCACATCCAGCTCCACATCATATCATATATGAGAAAATAAATATGAATAATGGGTCTACTATTTGTTTCCAGGTTGTTTTGGGGTTTGTTGATAATATAATCCATAAAAATTATCTTTTATTAGAAAAAGAATAATAAAAAAGACATCGATATCATACTTACGCAATTAAAAAAAAATCACATGGGGGAAAAAAAATACAGCAGTGTGAGGGAGTGTTGATTTTAGGACAGTATGATTAATATACAAACATGCAGAGAAAAGAAAGACAGACGCGTCAGTCAGACAGTTTAGAAGTCTTACTTGTAGAGCATCCTGCCTCTGATCACCTTCAGGTTCTCAAACACACTCAGGTTTGTCCAATTCTGTGGCCAGGCATCAATGTACAAATAACCTGCAAAATAGAGGAGGCATGGTATGCTCTGTATAGCTTCTACATGGTTTTATATGGAAAACCTGAATACCTGATATGTATATCAATTCTATCTTTTTTAGGTGAGATGTTTTAGATAAGCCCGTAGTGGGATTCTACCTCACTTGCACATGTATTTTATTTGTATTTACATTTTCTCTGTCTAACTTAACTATAAATAAAATACAATTTAAAACAGAATAATAACCCAATTTCATTTTCTTGGTAAAAGCTTAAAAAAGGATTGAACAAACACTTCCTTCCTGTTGTCCTCAGTGTTCAGTACCTGTAATCTCCTCCAGGTTCTTGAAGCTGCTCAGCTGCTCGACGGTCAGACCTGATGTGTCGCTCACAGGGTCCCTGGACAATGACAGCGTTACGTTTAAGTGACAACTTTCACACAGCAAGAGGCAATATACAATTTGATTGTTGCACTTTGTCAAATCTCTGTTCACTGATACAATATCCAGCGGTGCAGGTTAGCTCTATTTGTTTACATTGAACACTTTCACTGAACCCTAGTCAGAAAACAGACACAAGATAATTTATCAGGGATTTGGGATCTGAGCTTCGGTTGGTGTCATGTAGGCCGATCCACCAATCTTTAACTTAAAATCCACGGAGATATACACTGTATATATCATTACTGTAAATAAATGATTCTGTATTGTGTGAATATACAGTATATGTCTCTATTCCGAATCAATTTGATTCTATTAAATCAAATAATCATGAGGAGGAGAAAACCCGCAAAAGCAGTTATTTTGCTCTTTGTAAACATAAAAAACCCATTTACGTCTAGGTTTGAAGTACATTTGAGTCGCAGAATCTAAAGTCTTTGGCTTTGGTGGCGACTTTCCCCTCGACTTAGACAAAGAAACTTCACAAATGTTGCTGTAAACTCAAATATTTGAAAGGCTGAACTCGAGGGATGTGGCTCTGTGGCAGTATGAAGTCTTGGGCATAAAGCTGCTATTTGTGGTTACTAAAGTGCACGTATGATTGTACGGGTTAAATTGAGTTTGTGACTTTATTTTGTAATTTCTAAAAAAAACCTTTGTGAGCTAAAACTGTATTTATGTTACTTATTATTTATCTAGTTATTGATTATCTTACCATTCAAAGCTCTGCGGGAGGAAGGCCAGACTACCAAAGATCTTCTTACACTTGTTGAACCGCTCCACGTTAGTAGATGTTACCATGGTGACGCCGTGGTTGTCCATGACGCCCAGGTTGTCCCTACCCAGACCATAACACACTGCAATACAAACCATGACAACGGATTATAACCAATTCATCTTAAATCCAGAAATTTAGCCGGATGTCCAACTTGAGAGGAAAAGAATGATGAACCAATCTCCATATAAACCATGATATCATCAGCGTAGAATGAAATATCGTATATAGTATAAAGTATATAATATGTAGTATATAGTATGTAGTATATGTGTATGTAGTATATAGTACATGTGTATCACAACAAGGATGTAAGGTGATTGGCAAATTGTTTGACAGCCCTTTCTGGTGCCTCTAGCAATGTTGATGAATGGAGGGTGTGTCTTGTAAAAACAGTTGAACTTATGAAGTGTGTAATTGAAAATGGTGTCGAATATCAATATTTGTCAAGTTATTGTATCAAAGTTAGTAATTCCAGCATCGTGACACTAATACTAACTGAGCTTTCCTTGATCAGCCTTGTCTGGTCTTAGTGTATAAACGTATGCATCTTTACATAGTTGAAAAATTTGAGTTTAGTGATTGAATGAATTTTTTTAAAAGTCTGCATTTAACATGTTTATTAGCAAAAGAAGTCCCAACTAAGGCCAGAAATTAAATTAAATTTATGCAACACAAATTGAGATTATGCGATAGCTGGGCTCGGTCTCACGAAGCAGGATTATCGCGTAATCCAGTTAACTCCACTCAGTAAAAAGAAATGATCCACATGTTACGAACTTATGTAAATGTCCCGATTCACGAGACAAACCGCAGGTGACGAAAACAACAAGGTACTACAGAAACAGGTTGGTTCACATTGCACCGTAGTCAGCATGTGATGCAACAGAACAGAGCAGTGCGTGCGGCACAAATCATTATCAGTTGTACTGAAGCGCCATGTCATGCACGTAGAGAATACATCATTTAAATTACATCACAACATTACGTATGAACGTTATGCAACATTTTAGCCACATAGTATGAAATTGTTTTCCCCTGTTTACACTCATTAGCCACTTAATTAAGTAAAACCTCTAGAACACCAGGTACGAGCCCTCTTTGCTCTGCATTCTTCCTGGCATTGACTCGACTAGGTGCAGAAAGCATTCCTTTCAGATTCTGCTCCATGTTGACTTGGTCGCATTACACAGTTGCTGCACATTCGGTGGCTTCATACTCATGCTGCGAATCTCCTGTTCCACCACATTCAAAAGATGCTCTTGTTGTATTTGTGGAACCAGTTTCAGATGATTAGTCTTTGTCAAATGGCAAGTTATAGGTGTTCTGGTGAACATAATAAAGTGGCCATTGAGTGTATGTAAACAATGTATTGTGTTTTAATGCTAATGTATCCACAAACACACAATGACTCCTACCTTTGGGACAGTCTCCTTCACACTTTTCACATTTCTGCATCTCGTTTCCATCAGGGCGGGCGATGACAACTTCCTGGTTGGCTATTGGACAATTCAAAGTACAAGCCACTTCCATAGCCAGATAGTTATCTGCAGACAGGGAGACAAAGTGTTCAAAGTTTGCAGCAAAAAGAAAATTAATTAATTATGATGAAATGGGAAGCTGGTAGCCTAAAGCGTTCAAGTAGCAGGGATTTGATTGTGATACTGCCAGGTTGGAATCCCTCTGTATGTGTGGAAACCTTGGCATGAAAACTGAATAAATAATCTATTTCTCCTCCCCCCTCCATTCAGCATCTGCTATCGTCATTGCGCCCTACAGCAAGACGCTTAATCGGCAGTTTGCACCGGTGGAGCTGCATAGTGGCCACCAGCTGAGCGCTGTGTTGTATCGCTTTCATGAAAAAAACAAGGACTCACAAGGACACGTCTTGACGCAGGTGGCTCCAAAGTTGAACTTCTTGTTTGGGTTGGGTTTGGTCTGAAAGGTGACCGGGTCGTAGATATTGGGGGGAGGACAGTTTTCCTTACACACGCCGCTGTCGTTGAAGTGGCGGCAAGCCTGGAGAGAAGAGGAATAAGAAAACACGTTACTGCAGAAATGACAACAGACATAATGAGATTACAGTGAACACAACAAGTATATGTTGAATGCGTGCGGGAGTTTGTATTTTACCAGACAGTCTGAGTCTTTGGGTCCTGTGCATCCAGCAGCACACTGCATGTGACAGCAGTCGTGAGACTGGGTACCTTTACACCGCTGACAGCCAAGCGCACAATTAATATGAGTCACTGTGAACAAAGATGGAAAAAGTGAACATTTTCAGCTGTACTTTCACCTGCTCTGGAAGTTTTCCACTGAAAACCAAATAGTGTCAATGTCATACTCTGCGTATGATGTTAACTCACAGGTCTGGCAGTCCTGTGCAGTTTCTCCCCAGCAGCTTTCCTCACAAACAGAGGAACAACTTGGACCTGTGCAGGAGGAGACAAGACAACAAATGAGGAGAGCCGAGTCCACATCTGCACTCAAGCCGCCAGCATACTTCATCGGAACTGCTAGTCGGATGGTCGAATTGATGAGAACAGAAATGCTAACGTGCTCAAGTGACAATGCTAACATAATGAGGTTTACCAGTTCAACTTCGCCAGGTTCACCGTCTTAGTTTAGCCTGTTAGCATGCTAATTAGCGCTAAACACAAAGTACAGGTAAGGATGATGGAAATGTCATTAGTTTGTAAGGTATTAAGCAGGGACGCACCGATCGGACTTATTACTGATAGCGATTCCTGGGCTTTGGGTATTGGCCGATATCACACTGATCTGACACCCGTGTTTGATTGATAAGCTGCAAGCTTAACTTGTGGAAAAGACTGGGATCATTATTTTATGATTATCAGGCTCTCCTAACTTTGTAAAAAAAAAGTAACAAATAAATACATGGATTTAAATTGACTGAATTGTTTGTTATTAAAATAATAAATCGTCCATCAGAAACTTGTTGAAAGAAATCTTCAAAATTACAGCAACAAATTTGTCAAGCCTGAACTAGAATTCAAATACCAGTATATAATGTATACAAACACAGATTTGAATTGAATAGATCGGCCCCATTGTCACCGATACCCGATCCAGCTGTTTGAGTCAGTATCGGACAATTAGGAGTCATGAAAGTGTATCCATGGAGTCTAGGGCCACAGCGTTAGTGTTGTTTAAGACATGCATTAACATCCTGTGCTGCCCCGTCTGCTGTTTTGTATTTACTGTGGCACACAAGAAACAAGTTCAACATTTTAACGCATCCATCAGCTGCTCACATTCAGTGGCCCGAGGCTGCAGTCGGTGGAGAACTCCGCCAGGCTGCAGTTGGTGCACCCTGGCGGAGTTCTGCTTGTCCAAAACGTCCCTCCAAACAATGTTCTGGGGGTCTGGGAAGCACAGCTGGGGGTTCCCCCAAATATACACCGCACCCAACAGGATCTCTGCAGGGGGAGACGATACATAAGAGGAGGTTATCGAGTCATTGATACAGTAGATAACAGATGCCGGATGAAAGGAGGGGACTAAACACCTTTAAGATAATAATAAAACAAATCAATCATTCAGTCCCAACCCCAGTCAAGTTCAGTCAGTTCATACTGGGTTTGGGCATCAACTGTTAGCTCCACTATGCTATCATCCTACCTGTGAGGCTACGAAGCCGGAGCGTCCTGAGCCCCTGTCCGCCCAGAGTGTTATCCAGCACAGCCAGCGCGTAGCTGGAGTTGTACAGCTGGCTGCCTCTTATGATCCGAAGGTTGTCTAAAGGCAACAGACTCACGGACACATGAGCTACGAGTACATAGCCCTGAACCTCCACGATGCCCTGAAGAAGAGGTGAGGAGAAAACTAAAGGATGAGTCTGTTGTGGCAATAAAAACAAGTGGACCGCCAATAAAAAATGAAGCAACTGAATCCTTGTTTTTGTCTTTATTTAATTCCATCTTATATAAACAGACATATATACCTGTAGGAAGGAGAGGTCAGGGTTTCCATTCAGGTGTGTGATCTCCAGGTTCCCGTGGACCACCTTACAGCCGGTGTAGAGCAGCTTCAGGGTCTCGTAGTGATTGTCCAGGCTGGAGGGCAAGGTCAGCTTCATGTCTGTACCCAGGCACACTGCAACACAGATATACATTATTATACATATACATATACTGTATACACAAATATCAAAGGATCCCAACTTCATCCTCCATGTAAAACTCATTGCTCAACATTCATGATGTTTTATAGCTAATGATATTTTACCATCATTCAAAATCATTTGGAAAGAAAGCATTATATTAAAAATATAAAATATAACAAATAGTTGTTGCTTTAATTTCTGGAGTAGTACAACAAAATGTGATTTAGGTTTATTGCAGCACTCACTTATTCTGTGATAAATAAGTGATAAACACAGAGCAGACCCTGTTGATTAAATATCGTCAGCGTAGCCTTTTTCCTTTTTAAATGCTTTCAAACTTCCATCCGTTAGACCTTAGAAGGCGTGCTGCACATTTATAGTTACAGACTTTGTGTTAGCCTACATGTTCAAGCTCCAAATAATGGAGGCTTTAAGGACTCCACATATCTCGACTGTGTAACCGTTTACGAGTGGCCTTCAACGGTTCCTCTGAAATACAAACCACATGCGCTGCTGCAGTCTTGTCTCTTACTGTACATGATACAGTTTCCACTGGCAGCAGATTCCCCACAGTGGGTCACACACGCGTTACATTCAGGGTCACACAATTCACAGGGGCTCTCGCACACACACACACACACACACACACATACATAGCTCCCATGCTTTAGCAGACAGTCACACAGCGGACAGTCCCGCCTCTGCTGAGGTTATAAATGACTTCCTCTGGCCCCCTTCCAACAGCCCTTCAATAGTCAACCCCTTTCTCCTGATTATAGACCCCCCCCCCCCCATGCTATCTCCGTCCCTCCTTTTGGAAAGCACAGCTCGATGGACGGACATATATAATCAGAGGAATAGGAAGCACTGGCAGGCTGCAGGAGGCCAATTCCCATGATACACCGGGGTTCAACAAAGTTCAGAAGGTGTCTGCTCTTGAGAAGATGAGAAGATTGATAAGAACACGTCTTGACGTGTTCTTATCGCGTACGTGCGTCTGCCGTGTGTAAAGTCTCCCGGTGACAGCTGACACTCACAACTTGATCCACTGCAAAACAAAAAGTAGCTGCAAGTAAACAAGTTCCACGTTAGAATCTGACAGCTACTGCAGCCAATGGCTCTATGATTAATAGAGTGACAGCCAGAAATACACACCCAGTCGTTGTGTCAGATATCAAATCAAATGACTAATCACTGCCTCCCTCAGCAATGTCATCATGGAAAATAGTTTGACATGTCGGGCCAAGATAGGGAGTCGTGCTTTTATTCTCCCGCATTTAAATCATTTTTTAACAGGACAGGATATCTAAACAGAAACAAAATCTGACTCCCTGAAACTCTGTGATTGACATAAACTACCACACGCAAACACAAACAACACGGCCGGCTCCGGCTCTGGGGGTTCAGTAAATGTGCCGTAACAGGGAGCACAACGGAGCACATTTTCCATTTCTAGAAAGTGTGTGTTAAGCCAGTTCTCAGCTTCCTCTCCTTTTATTCCCTCATTGTTTGCTCTCCAAAAGTCTCTCAGCAACGGCTGCGTGTGTGCATGCGTGGCCTTTGTGAGGAGCTGCCCCCCCCCTCCATCCCTGTAGCCCAAAATACTCTTTTATCACTTACTTTGCTCTATCTGCCCACTGTCACCATCACCGCCTTCCTCTTTCAAATTCAATCACTACATCTTCTTTATTAGTTGCTTTGAGAGTCAAGTTTTTTAAAATTTCCCCTCTTTCCCCCCCATTCATTCCCTCCTGTCAGGTTAGTGCATGAGTCGTTGCACAACTCTCTTTGGACTCTGGAAAGTGTCATTTCACAGGAATGTGTCTTTGCATATCCAGAAGATGACATACCAGTGAGTTGGGGGGCCGGGGGATAAAGAAAAACCAGGTTGTAGTTCAGTGATAATTCAAAAAGCCCCCAGAACACAAGACCATCTCTGTGTCCAGAAGGTTGTCTACACAACTAATGACTGCCACAGACATCCAAGCACACACACTGAAGTCTGGAAGGTGTGCATGTGGCGATATATATATATATATATATATCTGTCATTGTTTGGTGCAAACAGAGTGGAACAATGTCGATGCCTTCAGATCAGAGTGTGTCGTGTAAGAATTGATACAGACTTGATCTTAATCTGGCTTCCTGTAAGAGAAGAAGTGGCGAGTTTAAGTGCCTTGCACCAGTGTGCTTCTTAGGACTTTCTGCAAAACTGAAAGCCAGCTTGAAGCCACACCTGTGTGTGTGGCAGCGTGCCAGTTAGCACAGGGAGTGTGTGTTTACCAGTGTGTGTGTGTGTGTGTGTGTGTACAGCAAGTGACAGAAACACAGTGGCAGTGAGGCTACTGCGGGAGTTAGACCGAACCACGGTGGAAAAGCCTGCAGCCTCTCCTCTGGATCAGATCCCTGCAAAGCTCAACACAAACACAACGAGCTGATCCAACAGGTCTTCAGTTCACATCCCTCAGATTTAACGTGTCAGTCCTAATTCTAACACAATGCTAATCCTAGCGTGTCCTGCGTGAACTTCACATTTCTTCCAAACCTCCCTGAAAACATTCTTTCTTCCTCTTCGCTCTATGGACGAGGAGGAAAAACAAACAGGTATTGCTCAACAGACGAGCAGAACAGGATCCTATACCGTACTGGAGCCGCACACACCAGCTCCTCACTCACTCACCGTGTGATGCACAATCAATCACAAACACAGAATATCTCCTGCATACGTTTACACATTCAGTAACTACAGTTTTAAAAATAATTTAAATGTACTTGCAATCTAAAGTATATTGGGGGAAATCTGATTTCTGTACGATTTCTTTGTTTATTCAGAGAACCAGATTGTGTGTCACGATTAAAGTTACATCATACATAAGCGGAAACTCTGATCTATAGATTCAGGCTATAGATTATAATCTATAACCTGAATCTAGAATCCGTCAATGTTTTATGATTGCATCGATATATGAACTAGAAATACTGGTATGTTGTCCCAACCAAAGCTGCACAACCACAATATTCAATACACACAACTCTATTATTCAAGTATTAATATACTGCATTGCAATATATATGTTATTGCAATGAACTCTATGAACTCTACGGGGATGCTAAGTGAAAAATAATACGTTTTCAAAAAACGATATCGGATTTAATTTTGTGCAAGATCGTAATTAGCATTTGCTTAAGTTCTCACTCCACAGACTGGTATAATAATCAGGCACCATTTACAATGAGTTTGTCACAAAAGACCAATTACCTTCTGGGGAGAAAGTGCTGCAAACTAAATAAAAAAATGATACAGAGCTTTCTGTATCATTCATTTTTATCAAGATTTAATTCTACTTAAAGTATCGATGATAATACTGAGCTGAAATGATCATTACTTGCTAAAAGTCAGATCCCTTGCACGCAGCTGAGACTGGGGAGTCACAGCCGGCTGAGCTAACCTGCCACCGATCCAGGAGGACTTAATCACTTCACAGGGATCTCCACTCAATAGGTGCAGTAGAGTGTGACGAGGACATGAGCTCTGTGGACACTGAGGCCACCGAACACAAAACACACAATATGTTCTCACACAGGAGCGGGCTGTTGAAATAATTCGATCACAATATGGAAGAAAAAACACGAAACACAACCGCTGACCTTTGGAATCACTTCTCGGCCACAGGGTGTGTGTGTGGGTGTGTGTGTGTGTGTGTGTGTGTGTGTGACATAAAACAATACTTTGTCACTGAAAGTAAGACTTGTGCATGATGCATTGCTGCAAACAGCTGCTACAGACCAATAACAGCACTCACGCTGAACCGATGCTTCAGAGATCAACACTGTGGAGTAAAGTGCACCGACCTGTTCCCACCAACAATGCAGTTGTGTTTGGAAATCACTTCACCTGTGACTATTGGCTTTGTGTGTGTGTGTGTGTGTGTGTGTGTGTGTGTGTGTGTGTGTGTGTAGCAGTGCTGGGGGTAGCAGCTAATAAAAGACACAGAAGCTTCACTACAATATCTTTGACTCATATTAGTCTTTTTAGAGGTAAAGATGACATCATCCCAAACTCAGACGTGGCGATATTTCATGTTGTCATGCACTGGCCTATGTCGATAAACGCTGTTAGGTACGTGTCAATAAAGCACATGTTGGAAGGTTATTGATGTCAATATGTTTGCCATTAGCTTATTAAATGTTTTTAAAAGCATGTGACCCGGCTTATTGATATCGGACTCCACTTAAAAACACATCTCTATCAATATGGAGGCTTATGTAAGCATGACTGCAAACGACAGCTGCAAATAACCATTATTGAGATGAACTGTTTGGCCTATAAAGCGTCAATAAATGAGAAATTATATATATATATATATATATATATATATATATATATATATATATATCTCTCTCATGGAGCCCGAAGTAACTTGTTCAAATTGCTTTCTTCTCTTTTGAGTCCTGAATGTTTTTCTTCAGTATTACAGAATCATGAGATGTTTGGCCTTTTAGCATAGTTCTACTTATATGTGATGCAAATTTAAATGTAGGACTTTCTTGCAAATATGCAACTTGTTTGCACTTTCGGTTAGCTCTTGTTTTACTGGCATGCACTCAAGGTCCAAGTGGCCCTCTATCAGACAATGTCGTCTTTAGAGCCAGAAGCGAATAATTGACATCGACGTGATCCTTGCCACACAATGCCCGGTCTGTTGTTGGTTTGTTTTTGTTTACGCGTAAAAGCAAAACCAGCCTAACGTCCTCTCCTGCACGCGCCGCCGTCTCGCAGTGTCCCCGAGCTGCAAAAGCAGGTTCTCAAATGTCTGACCCGTTTCACTACTACTACCACTACTACTACTACTACTACTATGTTTTAGAAGTGTTTATTTGTGCGACAAAATGTGCTACGTGAGACAGTTTTAGTCAAAACAGGAAATGTGGGTTCCGGCTACTTTGTGACAGGTGTGATTTTATTTCCCCCCTCATGAATCCCACGAGCCTCAGCGGTGAGAGAGAGGACGGGGAGCTCGCGGAGGAATGTGGTCGTAGCTAGAAATATCACTCTCTTAGGGCCGAGCTGAAGCTTCACACATCTACTCACACACAACCCGCGTGTTCTCCTCGTCTATGCCATGCAGACGGAGTGTCTGTATTAGCAAACAGGGGGGAGCCATTAATAAAAGGCGAGACGAGCCGTGAAAGTTACCCACCTTCTCTGCCCAGCGCGCTCGCCGTCACCCCGAGCAGCACGGCCCCGACAAACACCAAACTTCTCGCCGCCTCCATCTGCTGCGACCCGGCGCCTCTAGTCCATGTTCCAAAGTTTCTACTGTTCCCAATGAGGACGGCACGTAGTCGGAACTTGTCCTCGTCTCCAGGTTTTTTGTTTCCTGGCACCTTTTTGGAGTTGTTGTTCGTTTCTCAATCTCAGTGACTTCCTCCCTGGAATTTTCGTGCCTGTTGGTAGTAAAGCGTGACAGCGCGCAGGAACGGATGCGCGCGCTCCCGCGAAGGCCTGAGCGGGGAGTGGCAGGTTGACTCAGCTCGCCCTCACTTCACACTGTTTTCTGCAGGGCAGTGCTGCTCTAACTATCTAACTAGTACATTACTATCTAACTAGTACATTACTATCTAACTAGTACATTGCATCCTAGTTTGCAATTTGTAAAGCGCCAATTCGCTCAACAATGTGTTTTGCTTTTTGTTGCTTCACTTGGATGTTTGAGCTTCGCTGTGCAGATTGATGTGACACCAGAAAGGTGTTTTCAACATTCACCTGCTGAAGAGGAAAAGTTCCTCTGTACTCAGCAGATGATTTAGTGACATCATAACTAGTTTTTGGGGCCAATCATGGTTCAATTTACAAAACAATGTGAAACTTGAAGCCACGAGTGGACATTCATTCAGAATGTACGTCTAAAGTAGGAGACATTTTGTGTCCAGTTATTGGACTTTTGAAATTAATGATATCTATATATGTGTTGATTCTGGATGAATATTATATAATGCGTCTGTCGTACAATATGTTGCTTGTTCTTATCTGTTTGCGTAGGATGTAGTTGTAATGTGCTTTAGGAGATGTTGCCTTGTTTGTCTGTTTATTTTCTACTATAGAGGCAGCTATGATAAGACAATATGTTATGTGTCTTTTCATGTGTGCAGCAATTGAGTCCAAGACAAATATATCGTATCATTAACATTTCTTCACCAGGAAATTTGACTTACAAATAAAAAAATGCCATTCAAAGCAGATTAAGTTTTTATGTCTCAAAACAAACATGTCTGCTTGGCACCCTTAAAACTATCATCACCAGTGAAGTGATCAAGTTAGGAGATATGACAAACCAAACACCCGTAGCTGAAGAAGTACTCAGCTCCTTTACTTTATGTATAAAAGTTGGGGGTGAAAAAAGATTGTTTCAGAGCATGAAGGCCAAACTGTTTTTACAATAATCCATTAAATACTCATTCACACACTTCATCTGGTCTCCCTCAATCCCCCCTCACATATTAGGCCTCCTATCTGTTTATTTAATGTCATGCTGTTTATGTTTTCCAATTCAATCGTGTGTGTGTGTGTGTGTGTGTGTGTGTGTGTGTGTGTGTGTGTGTG